CCACCCCCCCCTCCAACTTGGGTAAGGCCCACGCAGCTGAAGTTGTGGCAATCTCTTCTTTCCCATGAGTTCATCTTGTAATAAATCGCACCAGCCCTGCGGAGGGGGAGGAGAAAATTGAAAGATGTTTATAGAATTAATTCCCCAAAGGAAATCGCATGGGGGAGGGCAAATGGGGGGAAGAGTTGGGAATTTTTTTTTTTGTTACAGAAGATAGATTTTTTTTTTTTTTTTCAGAGTTTGTTGGATGGAAAAAAATCTGCAGAACAACTTCAGTGCTGGGAAACAATTAGATTTCCTCCTCTGCTGCTCTTCTAAGGAAGAGTTCACTCCCTGTTCACGCTGCGTGGGTCGTCTTCTGCCACCCTGGGGTCGGAAGGGACCGTTCCCATCCCGTAGGATGTGCCACGAATTCCACGTGGTTACTCCAGTGCCAAACCCTGTAACTGGTTTGACTGGGATGCGTCTTCCAGAAACATCCCATCTCTTCGAGGGAGAGATGGGGAGAGTCCCCCACCTCCCTCGGGAGGTTCCCCTAATGCCTGTTTAATCGTGCTCCTCAAAGCTCTCCTCCCTCCTGCCTGCCCGTCCTTGCGGCGTTCCAAGGGCTGGGGAAACACTCCTGCACAAAAAGGAGGAGAAAAAAAAAAAAACCCAGACATTTTGAGCTACTTTGCGGTGTGCGGCCAGCGCAGGTGGGAGCAGGAGGGCGATGGGGGGGCTGTGGCTGGACTCCTCGTTTTCTCCCAGTGCTCGGGGGTCCGGTGCCGGGGAGCCGGGAGGATGCTACCATCTGGCGGCATGGGCTCGCAGCAGCAGCCGGCTCTGTCCCGGCCCTGCCTTGCTGCCTGGCCTGGGCTTCCGTGCCGGCACCTCCCTAAAAAGCCACTATAGCGAAAACAAACAGGTGACCCCAGAACAAAAGCCCCAGCCCCTCCGCACTAACAGGAAAATAGCTGCTCGGCTTGTGTTGGTAGAAGGGGTTGCAGCAGACAAAGCAATTGCCTTGATCCTGCCGGTGGACTGACAGCGCAGCCGTGCGTAACCTCGTGCAATTAACTGTCCTGTGTTTGCAGACCAGAACCCGGCAGTAGAGGAGGCTGAGGATGACCGTGATAAACCGAAGCTGCTGGATGAGAAGGAGGAGATGGAGCAGCCACAAATCAAGGTGCCCATGGAGGTACCCAAGAGAGAGGAGGAGAGAGGAAAGCCGGAGGAGAAAGTGCAGCTTGACCGTCCCGATCAAGGTAACGAGGAACCTGGGGAAAGGGTGCCAGCTTTGGAGCAGGGGACGTACGTTACAGGACTATTTCAGATAAAGATCCTGATCTCTGCTCGTTACCTGGCGGACTGAAGGTGACTTAGTATTTGGTCTCTCGAGGCTCGTTAGGAATGCAGCCTCCTGATGAGAAAGCAAAGGCAGGGCTGAAAAAAGGCAGTAGGTAGCTGGGTGCTGGGTGTGCTGTGAACCTGCTGCCTGTTACTTTCTCCCACCCGTCTCGAGCCCCCTAACCCTGCCTGTCGTCTGCCCCAGGGATTGCCCTGCCCGTGGGGGAAGCGCCCCGCCACGAGCCGCCCGTCCCACACGACGAAGTGGTCGTGGACATGGGGCGGGAGCGGGAGGAATCCGATGAGAGCAAGCTTGCACCCGGAGGAGCCAACGATCGTCTGCTCAAGCCGGTGCTGGAGGAGCCAGCCGCGCTGAATCCCCAGAAAGAGGCACTTGGCCCGAAACAAGGGAAGGAAGCGATCGCTGAGAACCGACTGCGGGGAGGGACTGACGAGCCCGTTAAGAATCCAAAGAACGTCCTGGAGGTGATCGTGCAGCAGGATGGCAGGCCGCCATACAAAGAGCTGGAGCCAGACAAACAAGTGCTGGAAGCCAAGGCGCAAGCTGCCATGCCGGACGGTGAGAAGAAAGCTGAGGCTGCAGGTGACAGGGAGAAATCAAAGCTCCAGCCCCCCAGGAAAGCAGAGGAGGCTGTGAAGTCCGTGGAGAAGGAAGGCGACCCTGGTAAGCTCCCTCCATGGTGGCTCGTCTGAACAAACTCTCCTCTTGGAGAGTAATCTGCCCTGGCGACTGGGCAATTTGGTTATTCCTACCTACATCCCAGTGTTTCCTTTTAATTTCACGAGATTAGCATGTGAGCATGCACAGCCCCTTCAGCAGCTGTTGGGGAAAAGGAGGAATCTGGTGGCTTTGACAGCTACTATAATATCTGTCAAACAGTTGTTTGCTAGCCTACTAAATGTCAGGTGCCATGCTGTTCCTGTGCGTCTCCGAACTCACTGGGGACACGGAGCCGGGAGATCTTGACAGGTAACACATTGCTAAGTGCCCGTCTAAAAGCTAGTTAGAACTGTTCTTGCATTTTAATTGGCTAAGGTAGTTAGCGCTGGCTCGCTGCCACGAGTCTATAAGATTGTTAAATATTTTTTTTATTACTTCCCTTGCAGTCATCAGGTTGAATATAAACTGTGCCGGCTTAGGCAGGGAGGGACAACACGATGTGGAGTCATTTTAGAGAACATCTGCTGCTGGAGCGTCCTTATTGACTGCAAAGGTCTGTCGATCTGTTTGTTCGCAGGTGAAAAGCAGGAGCTGCCCCTCCCAGACAGAGCAGATCAGCCGGAGCTGAGGGAGCCCCGAAACACCGAGGACAAGCAACAGGAGAACGCGGAGAGCAAGCTGGAGGGTGAGCCTGCGTCCCTGGGGTGTGCGGGGAGGGGAAGGCGCTGAGCTCCCCCCAGGAGCCAGGGCTGCGAGTGCAGGATTTCTCTCTGCAGGAGGACCGTGCCAGCCAGCGCTGTTCTTGGCTCTTGCCA